CTTCAGCTTTCTGCATCCTCGGGCACGTCATCGACTTCGGCTTTGCTTCATCGGACGGGACCGATGCCAAGGTCTGCGCCTCATCGCTTAGTCGCTCCAAGACATCCTACCCGGCTGCCAGCTGCTGTCNNGCCTCTGCTGCGAGCTGCGAGGCGTCGACAGTAGCACGCTCAGCACGCTCGCCACGCTCGCGCTTGCCGCCTTGTGAAGAGCACGCTGGGTGTCAATATCACTAGTTGGCTTCCCGTAGCGGTGACGAGATTGGAGTGTTTCTGGAGCTGCACCCCACACAGCTGGTACTAGTACGATTTCCCCTTGTGCTGAAGGAGGTATGGAGTCGGCAGCATTTTAGTGACGCTTGTGACCGCTTGTGGTTCTGAGTGAACGCACGTTAGATTTAGACAGAGCGTGCTGAAGAGACCTGCGATGAAAAGCGACAGATCGTCTGGGGTCTAAGATGGAAGTTCAGGGACGTACAAGTTTCACCTCTGGCGTTCGGCGCATGATGTCGTCTCGGTGATATCTTGAAATGCAGGACAGAACACAAAGGAACGGGCCCAAGACAGGGCTTTTGAGGACCAGAGGCCTCGCGAAGGCGCCCGTGGCGAAGCCAGCGATGGAGACTTCGGCGAGGGGGGCGGCGCGAAAACGGGCTGTGTTTCCTGTGACGGGAGCGGCGCTCAGCGTCAAGGCTTTGGTCCAAAACCAGACCCCAAAAAAGCCTTACGGTCCAACTTCGCACTCGGCAACTTGGCAATCGGCAGCTGTACCAGTACCAGAAAACCAAGGAAAGGCTCCGATCCCTTTCTCATGGACAAATCACTCCCAATAGCTTCCTCTGCAAACTTGGCGCTCAAAAGGTTTGCGGAGCGCCGTGATGCAAGCTACTATCCTGTGACCCGGCTGCACTGAGGGTCCACACGTGACTTGGACCACGGAACTGAGTCTTTGTTTCCCGTAGCGCACCTCACTCTTTGCCTGCGCCGCTTCGAGAGCTGCCAGTGTCGCTTCGGAGAAGTGCAGCTGCTGGGCCTTCCCGCTGGA